TGGTGCGTTCTCAAACAAGTATCCTGGGTTCCTTGGCCCTCTGTTGCTACATTGTGGTGCGTTCTCAAACAAGTATCCTGGGTTCCTTGGCCCTCAGTTTCCTTGTCTGTAGTATTAGGAAGGCTGACTATTCTTTAGAGAATCTTCTAGTTCTAAAACTTATCGTTGATGTAATTAATATCAATGTAAATTTAGTGTCTTGGGAAGTTAATGTGCTGACACTATTAAGAAATGGGGAGTTTGGAGGAAGGATGAGCACCAGTACAGTATAGGGTCATAATTTGTTGTTTGAGAAATAGCCAGAAGTGCCTCTCAACATCGCTGTGAACCTACCTTGTGTTAGTCATGTAAGTCTTCTGGATCTCAGTTTTATCAACTGTGAAATGAATGGATGACATGAATAGCTTTAAAATTCTGGTTCTATGAATAATTTGAGAAGAGGAAATGTCACCAACATTTTCCTATCTCAAACAGATGATTTTGGCACCCATGTTAAATAAACATTATTACCTTTGTTTTGGCATCTGATGTTAGTGACTGCAGTATGAATTTCTTAAATGAGCCATATAAAACTAGAAAATGACATTACATCTAATTTAAAAATGTGGATAACTAGAGTCTCAAGTCCTATTCTTTTTTCTCTGAATTACCTCGTTTATGAGTCTTAACATCACTTAGAAATTTTAATTATGGGAATTGAAAAAAAGTTGATTCAGATGGGAAAGTGGAGAGGGGGTGATAAAGGGGCTCGAGAACTGCCTGGCATGTTTAGTGAGCTTTTGGGAGGAAAAGAGTTCAGCCTCTTTCTCCTGTGGACGTAAGGTGGGTAAAGGTCTCAAAGACAAAAATGTAGATTTGATAATATGGAATACATTCTCACAATTAGAATTGTTTACGTGCTTGGCGCCTGTGGCTCAAGTGGCTAAGGTGCCAGCCACATACACCTAAGGTGGTAGGTTCAAATCCAGCCTGGCCCACCAAACAACAATGACGGCTGCAACCAAAAAATAGCCAGGCGTTGTGGCGGGCACCTGTGGTCCCAGCTACTTGGGAGGCTGAGACAGGAGACTCGATTGAGCCCAGGAGTTGGAGGTTGCTGTGAGCTGTGATGCCATGGCACTCTACCCAGGGGGATAGCTTGAGGCTCTGTCTCAAAAATAAAACAAACAAACAATTGTTTACCTCTCGTATTACCAGAGGCAAGATAAGTATTTCTGAGAGATACAGGGGAATTAGAAGCATACAATGTGGGGCAATGAGATAATAGTTTAGAAATATGTATAGATTCTATAGTGTTAACCTACTTTAGACAAATTTCATGAGCCAGAAAAATGCATTGATGTCAATGTAATAAATATTTGTGGGAATCATCAAATTTTTATTTTTACCCTCTCTTTATGATTCTGGTTCACCTCTATCTAGCCTAGACCCTAGAAATGTCCGGATTTGACTCCAAACTGGACCTTTAACAAGAATGGAGGTAAAGTTGTTGATAAGCCCACTATGAACTGACACTTGAACTGATGCTGCTCTACCAGGCTGAGAACCAATCACTAGCACAGTTTGAACATAATTATTTTTCTAGCAGCAGGTTTTCTTAATAGCACTATATTGACCAAGCCACGTTGCACTATATTGCTCACCAGGTTAACATGAAACATCCAATGCTTTAGAGATTTTAGGTTAACACTGAATTTCCCCAGTTTACTATCTAGTTCACTTAATGCCCATTGAAAGCCTATCGTGTGACAAGTAACACTGGGAAGATTTTGGCTACACACATGGGGGGGTTCTTTTGGTTTGAGTTGGCCATTGACATTGAATTATTCTACCACACGTACCCTTTTGCACCACTGGCTGACTTTTGATGCCAAGAAAGCTTCGCTGGTCAAAGTAAGAACTGGTTCTGGGAAGTATGCAAATGAAGTCTCTTCTACCCAGAAACATGAGTGCTGGAATAGTTGAACAGAATGGATTTAAAGCTTGAGATGTCACTGGGATTTAGGGGGTTGGAAAGAAGCCTTTATGTGTAAAAGTCTGTAAGGCAAGTGAGTAGCATGGATTATATAAAGATAGCAGGAAATGAGAAGGGGTGACCTAAAGATAGGTTCTTCCTTCCTTCCTTCATTTATTTATTCCACAAATAGGTATTGGAGTGTCAGGTATTAGAGGTGTAGAAGATATCAGGATGGACAAAAATGGATACAAATCCTTGCCTTCATAGAGGTTATTACAAGTAGTGGAGTTGGTATTCTTTTTTTTTTTTTTTTATTTTGGAGTTGGTATTTTCTAGTGGGTTATATTTTAACCCATCTTAGAAGGTTACGGGAAGATCACCTGACTAGAGGAGGGGAGCATTTGGGGAAGGCTGATAGCTCATGTGGTGCAGAGTGATGGAGTGCTGTCCCCTTTGGGGGACTCCCAGCCTTTCTGTCCCAAGTGGAGTACATATGTTTCAACTACTGGATGACTAGTAAGACAGGAGGACAGATGGAAGGAGACTCGGTTGGAAACATAATGTTTCTTTCAGTTACTGAAAACACTGACTTTAATAAATAAACATGGATGAGACTTCTGAATACATTATGTGGAACTTGGGCAACACCAATTTTCAGTAGAAATCATTGTCATTGATGTTATATTGCAAGTTCTAACTGTTCTGTTAGCCTTAACTTTAATTTAACAAAATTTTAATTAAACTTTATCATTAACAACATTACTTTTCAAATATATGCACTTTGCGCTGTAAATCAAATTCTCATATTATATATTGCCTGCAATAAACCAAAGGAACATTAATATTGTATTGTTTTGTTTTTATGAAATGAAAAGTGATAGGATTTCAGAAA